AATACCAATTTGATGGTGAGTACATGTGGTGCTTGTCTTTCCATTCTTGGGATACCTCACTTCAGAAATATTCTTTTTATGAAAAAAGTTTTCCAAACATCATTAGGCCTACAGAAAAAGTCCTAGATCTAAGTCAGACATTTATCTGGAGTCCTGGTTAACTATGCCATCAGTTTGCTTCTTCCATGAGGTTGGTGACTTTTAATCAGCCTTGCAAAATGACCTCTTCCCTCAATACATCAGACTTTCAGAGCAGTCAAGCCTAATGAACAGAACACTGTGGTCTTCTTGCTTAACTAACTTCTCCACAGGACTTCCTGATCACTCACCATCCATCACCAACAGCTAACTCTTGAATCAGACCACCTGCAGACCCCTTGACATCAAACCCCAGGCAACATGACCAGCATTCCACAACCCGCTATAAAAGTCCTTGCCCTTAGGCAGGGAGATGGATTTGAGAAAGAGCTGCCTTCTCCCAGCTGATGTCAATTGCAATAAAAATCCTTTCCTCCCTGGCAATACTTGTTGTCTCGGTAATTGGCTTTCTATGTGGAGAGCAATTGGATCTTGGCTGGGCCCTTGTTGGGTTTGGTGACAGACCCAACCTACCTGCAGTACAGGGCAGATGGTATGATTGAAGATATACTTTCTCACACTATGTCTAATGTGGGCTACAATTGACTCAAAAATTTCCTTAATGCCTCTCAAAACATAACAGCTGTGTGTGTTATTCCCCAAATGTCAGCTACAAACTGTCAGGTGGACACTTGCTTTAATACATAAAAAAATGTCTTCAAGGCTTAAAAAAACAAACAAGAAATGCTTATACTGATATTTTAGAAGACAAGCTAAAAATAAGTTAATAGAACATCATTTTTTTCAGAGTATATGATTCTTAAAATGTCATCATGTTAAATATCCAATGTTAATTAGAATACTTTCAAAATTAGCTGAAACATTGTTTTTTCAAGCAATGTTTTAAAAATCATTAACATTGATACATAAGAATGAGTTGTGATCTTAATGTCTCAAAATGGAGTCACTCATGTTGAGTGGCATTAAGGCCATAGTGAAGTTTACTCCTCATTTGATAAGCTTATACATACTAGACTGAGCATCGAGATCATAGTAAATTGTTTTCTTCAAAGTGATAAACATATGTGTAATAGACTGAGCATTGGGCTCACAGTAAAGTTGTTTTTCTTCAAAGTGATAAACATATGTGTAATAGACTGAGCATTGGGCTCACAGTAAAGTTGTTTTTCTTCAAAGTGATAAACACATGTATAATAGACTAAGGTGATGAGGTAACACCTACTGTGGCCTAGTACAACCTGAGCCTGGAATGAACCAATAGAAAATGGAGCCAGAAGGTGGCTCAGATAACAATAATGAAAGCATCTGTGGAAAATCACAAAAACAGCAAGGAGCTGACAACGTCTAAGGCTCCTTTAGAATTGCTGCTCATGAGAACTTTGAGGCCTCAGAGAAAGTTCCAGGCCCATTGGAGTTGTCTGGAAGTTTCTCTGATGCTTGGTTCATTACCCCCCAATCACTGCCTTCAATAACTGTATTGCAAATGTTTGTTTGCTTGATCGTGTGCCTGTGAATCTCTTGCAATAAACCCTGTAATTGAACATTGCTAATTGGCCACTGAGTCATTGTGAAATCTGGCTGGTAGAAGTTAGCATGCAGGCCATGAGAACCTGATTAAAATAACAACAAACATTAACCTCATAGTTTAAAAAAAAACTAACAACTATGCTTTTCTAAAACTGTCAGAATACTTTCACCAATTAACAAATGTGTTAAAATATTTACGTATACACCTTGTTTTGCTGTAGTTCAAAACACAAAATGGCATACTCCATAAATGTGGGTGTTTCACTAATTCAAGGAACTAGTGCTGTTTTGGGGGCATTTGATACCCCTACATGTTTCTCACATGTTCATGCTGACTCTGGACTAGGAGGAGTGGCAGGCAGTTGCTCTTGTTTTGACAAGATTTTTAAAATATTATTCTTTTTCAAGCAAAAAATTCTTCTGATGTTTGTTATTCTCTGAATGTGCTCAGTCCCATGTGAAAATTGGCACTGTTTGTAGTCACTCCCTTAATTGCATTTGTTTGATATATCAAACAGTTCTCAGATCTGTAAATCTGTGAGCTTAAAGAGAAGCTCCCTTCAAAGCATATTTCAGTCTGATATGAATTTCAAAGGATCAATTAAATTAGGCCTTATCCAATCCAAACCGCTGTTCCCATGCTTTCCTTTGGCTATTGCTTTTATTTATTTTGTTCACCTGAAAAACATCTCGCTTTTTCCTAAGCATCGCTTACATATTTAGTGGCTTACTAATCTTTCAGTATGGATGCTAAAACAATGTTGTATTTGATACCATTCATATGAGGACTGCTAGGGCATCTTTTTATACATGCAAGAGGATGAAAAGATAATTTAGGTTAAAAGGCACTATTTCCCCAAAATTTTGGGAAAGTCTTCTTTTCCCTTTGTATGTAAAACAACACCTAACAAACCAAAAGGGTTAATATTTACTAGGAGCTTCATATAGTAATAACACTCTTTCACTTTCTAATGTTTTGAGACATCAGTGTTCTACAAATGTTAATTAATGAATCAATGTCATATTATTAATATCTGCCTTAGCTAATAAACTGATTTATAAAAATCACAGTTCATAGCCCTTCTCTCTTTTAAATATATCATGGACTCACAGATTCTCAGGTTCCTATTCTCCAAAGAAATCACCTATTACTCATAAAAAGGTGAGAATGCTTATTAAAAACATTGATTACATACATGCATAAACATTCTGGGAACAAATGATAAAGGCATGAAAGAATGAGACAGTTTGAAGGCTCTAAGTCCTGGCTCTAGAGTTAGAAGTTGTAGGAGATGAGATCATTAGGATAAAGTCAAATTTGATAGTGAATTATTCACTCTCAGTAATCCTAATGTTTTATTGTGTGGTGGTGGCTGGAACTATCTGTAAGGAGATTTTAATCATTCACAAAGATTGAAACTATCAAACTAATTGGCTAGACAGTGCTGTGGTCAGGTTTCCTGGGTGCTCGGTAGGTGGAACGTAAAAACCAAGATAGTGCCTGTTGAATTTGCTTGAAAGTGTGCTAACCTTATCACACTGACCCTATCTCCGTGCTGGGTTCAATGCTCCTTTTTTCATTTCCAATTTCCAAAAGAACTTTGTGCTTACAGACATCCTAGGCATGACCACGGCTGATATGATATGAAGTCAACTTACAGTCTGTTTTCTCAGCTTACTTGTCTGTCTTCCCTATTAGATTTTCAGGCCCTTAAGAACGAAGGATACAGATTTTTTGCTTTTATTTTTTAATCTCTGTATTCGCAAAATTTAGCATTGTGTCTAGCATAAGCACCCAACAAACATTTGTTTGATTTTATGTAATTTGATATAACACCAAATCAATGTTTGCTTGAAAATTCTGCTTTCTTAAAAATGCTGACTGGTCTCAGGTTGCCCAGGACAGAAGAGGCTATTAAGAATGAATTCATTTTGAACATTACAAGCCCCCCACCCCCATCTTCTCCTTTTGCCACCAGAGGACTTTAGAAATGCACTGGCCTGAATACACAAAATCCTTGGTACTTTCCTTTGGAGCTCAATTGCGCATTTGGAGGGAATCCTTTTGGCGCAGGAGGCACCTGCTAAGCCACACGTAAAGAAAGGAGGAGATAATGAAATAATTGCCTTCCTGCTGCAGATAGACCAATATGACTATTTAAATTTGCCAAATAAAGAACTATGGGGGGACTATCTGCTTTGTACAAAGATTTTTTATGAGGTTCTTCTAAACAGTAAGTATGCACATGTGTATTTTTTCTGGGGAGAAATTATTATAACTGGATTCTCAGACGGATCTGGGACCCCAAGAGGGTAATACCTATCGCTTAGTGCAAGTAAACAGAATTTGACTTTCAAATGGCAACCTTCTATTTTGATCTGAAGTTTCTTCATGGGAAGGATAACATCTGAGCCTTTTTGTATTGCTTGCACCCTACACAAAAGTATCCAGTACATAACAATCAATAGAGGCTTGTTTGGACAAAATGCACTGACAGTAAAATCAAGGCTTCCTGGAAAACCATCGCTATTCAGGGATCAGAGCACTTAACATTGCTCCTTACTTCACCCACCATGAATTTGCCAGCTTGCAAGGATTACTAAAAAAAATTTACTTCTTTCTGAAATAATAGGAACTTTCTATCTTATTTGTACATTTTGAAATTTCTATTCCCTATGTCCGAGTACTACCACTAAATTTTATTTGTATGGTACATATATTTGTAAAGATTTTACATTAGATCTTAAAACATTTTTTAGGTCTTCCAAGGCGTAGGACTTTTGTGACAAAAATGAGGCCTGGTTTCCCTCAGATAAGAGGCCTATTTTCTTATTTCTTTTCCTTAAACGAAAAAGAAAAGAGCAGTAGTCCTGTGAGATCCCATACCAATTCAGGTTTTAAACAAAGAAAACTATCCACATAGTTCTGTTACGGCAGTACACTAGAATAATTTGAAATAGCAAGTGACTTTTTCAACAAAGCTCAAATGGTGTAGATTAGGCTAGTACCTTATCACAGCAAGGCAAAAAGGAAAAAAAAAAGGTTTTTCTTTTTTTAAAGGAGCAGCATAACTTGCTGGCTCAGCAAATGTTTTTCCCCTATTCTAGTTTGGAAAAGAACAGGCTTTCTTACCCTTGGCCCTTTTTCCCGCCCCCCGACTGTACCATTAAGTCTCAGATAACGGGGTGATCTAGAAGGATAAGGAACAAATTAGGAATTGTCATTAACTTTTTCCCACGTTATGCATGGCAATACTTGCTGTTTTCTTTTAAGTGAATGACAATAATCAGTTCAAGCATTTGCTGTTTGCAAGGTTACTGCAAGAGTGAGCACTGAACTTTGGACTATAGCTGAGGGGTGAGGTAAACAACAGGCCTATAAATATCAGAGTTTCTGGCTGTGGCTTTGTGGAGCTGCCACAGAGAAGCAAAGAGAAAGGAAGCAGGCCCGTGGGAAGGGGTGTGTAAGTAGGAACTTTGTGTTTTCTGATACTTGATTCTCTTAAAGTTGGGTA